AACAAGTTTTTAGCCCGCAACGTTCGAAAAGAAACATTGAAAAGTGCTAACCTCCAAGGCGATATGAGTATTCGACTTAAAAGTTACGAAAACTTGGCGATCGACACTAGCCGACTGAGCCCATAGCGACAGTCGTCCGACAAAGACCACCAAAGCAGTATTAGCTGTGTCGAACATATTTAACGCGAGTGCTGCGTCGCAGTCTGCAGTCTGCCTCACGGCTACCAGCCGGGGGTTTCCGTAACAGTTGATAATAATCGCGCACATCAGCTTACGCTCTTAACTTTCAAAGGAACTACACGTCCAAAAACGCCTGAACCCAGATAGTTTAGTGCGATCATGCGTCGGTTAACGGAGCATAATTTTGGCCATCGACGCCAAACAAAATGATAATGATTCCCAAAGACAACGTCTTCCGCCGAGGCAGAGCGAAGGAAACGTATAAGAGCGGTGCTTTAGTTTCCTGCTCAGTTGGATGCGAACCAAAATCTAAGTGGGTCAGATCGAGACAAAACCTGTTTTATTAAAGCAAGGGTTTCCCTGCTCAGCCCCCCCCCCCCCTCCCCCTCCCAAGTCTGTTTTGCGAAACTACAGCCCTGCGGTCGAGGTTAAACGACCATGACATGTCCGGATTTACGACCGGATTACTTCAGGGTTAGGTCTAGTATCGAGGGCCCATTTCCCAGCCAGGGACAAGGCCGGGGCCCACAATTTAAACCAGTCGGAGCCCCTGGAACCATGAAGAGCTGCTCTATCGATCTGGGGGCCACAGTGAATAGCAAGCGCCATGCAAGGCAAAGAGCCCATAATAGGTCTGGGGCAGTGTTCGAGGTGGCCCGCAGGGGGGCCTTTGATCAAGTGCCTGATTGGAAGGTACGACGGGCTCGCTGTACGTCACATCAAGGATCCCTGGTCTGCAGAACCGGGTCCTGAGATGTCAGGCAGAGAATCTCTTATACCGTTTGGAACACCCTCGGACCATCAGAGCCTCTACCTTGGTCAGAGACCACCAACGGCGAATAGTCAGCTCCGTGTCAGTCCAAGCTCAGGGAGCCCGTTTCCCAAGCAAGGACAAGGCTGGGACCCGTGATTTCTATTGTCGGGAACCCCTGAAACGATGAGAGCCCTTTGTCGGTCAGGGGCCCACAGTGCGTAACAGAGGGCTCTGTGTCGGTAACGGGCTCCGAGTCGCCGGGTAACATTAGCTGAACAGGGATAGAGACTGGACCCGGAATGCTTGACGGCCTTTTGCGTTGGTCGGGGACCTTTCATAATGAGCGTGGATATGATTATTTGCGATGAGAATCCACAGTGGGACAATAGAAGGTCAGGTCCGTGTATCAGTCAGCCACAGCTTCGACTATAGTTCTCCACCGCCTTTCAGCCAGAGGCCCGTTACGCCGAATTGAAGTCTCTATGTCAATTATTGGACACCTGCGTCCATAAGGGATAGGTTTTGGTCAATGCGAATCCCTGCGTCGATGCGGGCCGAAACTTCCGGGCCAGGGGCCTTCGGTGTCAGGCAGATGACCAATGTACATGCAGTTTCGCCAGAAAGCCCCATGCAGCCCCTGTTTCGCCAGAAAGGCAGCGGGTAGGCACCCCGGGCTGGGATGGAACGACTCTGCAGCCTTCGGCTGGGAAACATAATGTGCCGCTAGTGTTCTACTCATTGGGCCCCTTCTTCTGAAATAAACCAGGGGTTTTCTTAAAGTTAGATAGAGCGGATCAAACTGAAGTAAAACAATGAGAAAAAGGCCAACACAAACGAAGACGTACATCCAATAGTGTCACTCTGCTTTTGGAGTGCCCGAGCTCCGTAATGCCAACTTTAACGAAATATTCCACGTTTGAAAATATTAAAACGAGCATCAGATGTCATAAAATCAGCTAATTCATAAGTGTTGATGATTTTTAAGTGGAAAAGACTGCTCTAGATGACAAAATTTCTCGATTTAGCAAGCATGATTATCAATATTGCATTGCTTGATTGCGAAATAGAACTTTTGTATGACGTTTAAATGCTGCCATACTAATCGTGCGAGATTACCCCCCTAGCATTGAAAGGCAGCACTTCAACTCGCCGAGAGACAGCAGCGGTGGTGCTGGAAGTGCTCGCTGAGCCGAATATCGTTATGTGCTCGTGTTTGTGGCCATCGCTTGTCGCGTTTTTGCGCACTTTTCTGTGAGTTAAGAAAGTTTACCTGCATCCATATGCTCGGTTATGGCGCTGTTCTTAAATTCTTCGATGGCAACTCTCACTTCTTTGCTTTTCTTTTCAAACTTTTCAGTTTGCAAGTGAGCGATTCCATAGCACCCTTTCAGCTTCACAAAACAAGCGTGCTTATACGAGGAGGGTGCAAAATGCCGGTCTTCCATATGTGATTCTTGTGGCTACTCACATTAACTTGAAAAATATGTGGTTAGTGTAATAGATATATACAATATATATATATATATATATATATATATATATATATATATATATATATATTCATAATTTATGGCCAAAAACCAGAACACAAGTGAACTATATCCAAGAAGTTTTTGTACCTCTCATGTTATGACGACTTTCAAGTCTCTGCCCCCCCCCCCAATTATTTTCAGAAATCAACACCCATAGTAGTCTGGAATCACGCTTGATACTCCTCGTAAGCCCGGGGGTCTACATACGCTCATAGTTCCCTGGAATCACGCTTCACACTCCTCGTGAGTCCAGGAGTCGGCATTCGCTCGTAGTCCTCTGGAATCACGCTCTGCTAACCAGCTGCGAAATATCTGTCTTTGACATGAGGGGCTTTCCGCGAAGCACGTGGTCCCTCTCGTGGCTGTCGATGTGAAGGTCGGTGCCCTGTTTGAACAACTGCAAACTACTGTTCGAAGTTTGACTAATAAGGGGACAGAATGTGAGGTTGAGGAGTTATACGGGAAGGTAGTACGGATAGACTGTATGGCATGTGAGCGGCAGAACCAGTGATTTTGGATCAGCCGTATGAGCTCTTTTCACGCTTGTACCTAAATTAAAGGTGTGTGGCCAAAACTAAGTAACATTCGGAAACGCACGCAAGCAAGAATAAGCCGGGGCAATGCTCATAGAATTTGTCGGGTCCATCACCATAGCCGGAAAACTTCACTAGCAAATTCCACGTGAGAAGGGTGACCGCAAACTGGACCGAGCAAGCGTTGAGATGCTCACTCAATGTTTTTAAGAAGTAACATTCTGAGGCGAGGAAATGCTAGCTGTCCGGTCCGAAACGAGCGTATCTTCCCAGTCAGGAATGCCACCGGATGTACCTGACCGAAACGAGTGTGTTGCCCCCCCGTCAGAAAAGTCACCGGATGTACCTGGCCGAAACGAGCGTGTCTTATCCCGGCAGGAATGCCATCGGATCTGCTTGCAGATGCACATAGTGCAGGCGTGTGGATGCCACCACACGCTCTACCCGCTGCAGTTTGCGGCGGAGGGCGAACTGCAGGCGATCGGCGCGGCGTGTGACTTCACCTACGACTGTGAGAAGGCCGGAGAGGCGAGACCCCTCACGTGTCACGGCTGAAGCCGGGCAGGCGTCAAACGACCACGCAGCGGGCCACCTCGCACCTGACGCTTCTCATCATCATCTCCTACTGTCTTTCTCCCTTGCATGTGCCCGTTGATTCACGTGACCTGCGACCTAACGTCGGCCGCGTGTTTCCGTGCTCGGCTCCGTGGTTTACTTGGGTGGCCTTGGCAGTATGGACGTGAAGCGAGTGTGGACGCGTGGACGTCAGGTGAGTGTGGACGTGTGGACGTGAGGCGAGTGTGGACGTGTGGACGTGAGGCGAGTGGGCCGCAGCCTCACCTTCTAACGGGGGCGAGGATGCGGTCTATCTCACGATTGGATGTACTGATGGGTCTGTATTCAGTGCATGTGGTCTACTTAATCAGGACCATCCCTTGCATTAGTATTGGATGTACTGATGGGTCTGTATTCAGTGCATGTGGCCTACTTAATCAGGACCATCCCTTGCATTAGCATTGGATGTACTGATGGGTCTGTATTCAGTGCATGTGGTCTATAGGACCACTACTTGCATCAGTATACAGATCTGCTTGCCTTGCAGGCCCAAGACCCACATGTGCATGTTGGCATACGTGCTCCGTGACAGTTTTTGGCGCCGGGGCACGCTTATGCTTATAGGCTTTTATGCTCCGCGGACCAGTAAAACCATTGTCAAAATGGCGAGCTAATCAACCAGGGCCAACAGAAAGCGTTCAGCCACGCGGCGTAATGGCCATACGGTCAGCCGCGCTTCAGGTCCGTCATCATCACTGCAAAGCAGCGATGAACTGACGTTGGCCCACTGGCCGCCAGCCCCCAGTCCAGCGCGATGGACTGACGTTGGCCCACTGGCCGCCAGCCTCCAGTCCAGCGCGATGGACTAACGTTAGCCCACTGGCCACCAGCCTCCAGTCCAGCGCGATGGACTGACGTTGGCCCACTGGCCGCCAGCCTCCAGTCCAGCGCGATGGACCAACGTTGGCCCACTGGCTACCAGCCTCCAATCCAGCGCGATGGACTGACGTTGGCCCATTGGCCGCCAGCCCTCAGTCCAGCGCGACGCCGCGATGGGCTGACGTTGGCCCGCTGGCCGCCACCCCCCAGTCCAGCACGACGACGGCAAAATGTCGGTCGTTTTCAGCTCAGGACGCCAGCTGCGTGGCAGGGGTGATCAATCTGACCAGCTCTGCCTCCCAGTCTCTGAAGTGCGCCTGCTCCGTCCCTTGCCAGTAAGTAAGAGTAAGAAAGGGAGCAGGGGTGAAATAACCGTAGACACTGTCTCCAACCGGACTGCGATGCCAGATTGTGTCTCGTTGACTTTTTGATGAAGCCGGTGAACGCAAAATCGTATTGGTCAACTTCTCAATGGAGCTTCGGTCGGATCGCGGCAGCATCGTAGTTTTACCTACCATATCCTTGACCAGATACATGTTTTGCTAAAACGCTTTCAACACCACGTAGTTCGCGACGATTTTTTGTATTTACACTGAATTCACCCTGGGTACGTACATAATCGCGTCGACATGGTGTCAGTACAAAATGCCAAATACGCCGCGTACAGTTCAGCACACAACGAAAGCCTAAGAACCCTGCCTACAGTGCTTCAGCACTCGCCGTGAGCTCCAGAACGTTAACCGCGCACGCAAAATTTGATCCAAGGGCTGACTCACGATGCCAGCACTCCTTTTCTCTTCAACTACTTGAAAAGGCAGGAGCGATATGATCGGCATGCTCTGTGTCGGGCAATCACCGTTCCCGTGAGCACGTGCTTCACGTTGACAGACTGCCTCACGAAGTCAAACTGGTGACGCTTCTGAACAGCTCTTATGAGATGTTCGGCACCATCAAGCTCAGGACCATTCCATCCAATCCTGAGCTCCTTCGCGGCATTGTCATGCCTCAGCTGCCGACGCATGGAGAAAACCTCCTTGAATACGCTGCCCATGGACTCAACCACACTTTCGACAGGACTGCGCAACCACGCGCGGACGATTAGACTGACGAAAGGTTCGATCGAGCGACCACGTTTCCACAAAGCTTTCAAGAGAGCTTGGTTGGAGCTAGTGCGTTCCTCACTACGCAGGATGCTGATTGCTTCGCGAACGCTGCAGCTCGGCGCCGCAGCCGATGGCGGACCAGCTTGCCGGACACCAGATGTCCGATGGCTTCGGAGACTGTGCTCACCTGGGCGTCGACTGATTTTTGTTAGGTCTGGAAACCCTTTAGGTCACCAGCCGACCGGACATCGAGCATGTTGTCCAGGATCGCCTTGTTTGCTGTTCCTTTTCTTCCACCATCCGCGCCAGCTCCCTCTCTCCTTGCCTTCAAGTTGCGGACCAGGGCAGCACAAAACGCCACGATAGGACGGACCTGTGGATTGCAGTTTGCTTGAGTCCAAGGGAGATCGAATCGCAAAGGGATAATTCGGTTCGAGCCAGGTTCAGAAGTCACGGGTGGTGTATCAATTTCGTGCAGAAATTTGGCTGCTTTGGTGATTGTCATTTTCGGGTGCGTTTGTCGGCCCAATAAGTTGCAGGCTTGAACAAGGACACAGGTTAAAACTAAACACCGCCTTAACAATTACACGCCCAGCGCTGTGGAACTGCGGAACTGTGGAACTGTGGAAACTGGAAAACTGTGGAAGAGACAGGTTAATGACAAAACATAAGGAACACCAGAATTGCCCCACAAAAATGCCCAGATTTTTTGGAAACACCCAAACTGTTAATGGAAATTGGCATCCCTATTCAATATCAACATCTAAGCACTGCATGATAAATAAAACAAAAATATTAAATGAACAGTGGTAGGCATACTTTTATTGAGACCAAAATGGATATGAAATATTCTGAGCATGAAGACACATGATAAGGCAACAATATTTTGGCAACAGAGTACAGTATTGTTCCATGATTGACAACCCAAAATTGACTTTCAGTCATCACACCATCACATCCATATGTATGCAGGGGCCATTTAAAGATCAACAGTCAGGACATGCTGCATTTCCAATGTCACAAATCCAACCAATGCAGCTCATCTTAGTACCTGCAGTATTCTGACCGGAGTTTTGTGGGTACTCAGAACAGGGATGCAGGGATGCTGATTCAGGAGTGGCATCATTGTGAGCTCTGCTCACTGTGCAGCTTGCAATTCCTGGCAAATGTCATCACTAACTTGATAAAAAGACATTATAAGACAGCACACACCTTGGATACAGCACCACTGTTGTAGGAAAATACAGGTTATGCACATATACCATGAAACACAAAGATGGCTTGATAAAAGTGGTGGTGTATATCACAAAATGGCCTGATTTTTAATGGATGTTGCTACCTCCCCACTCAATATCAATACCTAAGCAGTTGTTAAAGGATGATCAAGTGTTTATCTGGCAAACAATGGGAAAGCTGGTGGTAACTATAACTGATGACAGTATCTGATCAATTTGAATGAAGACGAGTCATGACAAAAATAAGTCCTCAGGAACATTGTGATCAACCAGCTGCTAAGTGTAATGCAACAATACTGCAATTGCAATATTTGTTAAACAATGCACAGCTTGCCATGAAACCTTAATCCACCATTCCATGCCTATCTTGAAATTGGTCTGGAAGTTTTGCAATTTTAATAACATTTCACACTGAATAAAACAGAAACCCAAGTCATTTACCATCAATACCCAGCCACCACAGACAGTATACTTGAAAAACTCACCTCCAGTCTGGTCTGCAGACACTGATGACAAAGCTAGACTGGATGACCTACTTGGCATCTCAAAAGTGTTGGTGCATTGTTCTCTGCCATCTGTGCCACTGTTCATTCCTGTGGAAAATCAAAGCCAATCTATTTTACAACCCTTGACAAACCTTTCAAGAAAAAAATTTGAATCAGCAAAGGCTGTTATTGGCAGAGTACCTGTAAGTAGACAGGCTAACATCACTGTGAAAACAATGAAATACCACTGACTACAAGCAAAGTTACATCTCAGCTGATGAGCATGATTCATTAAAAAACTATTTCTTCTCATTTTGGGGGTGAATTTGGCTCTCTCACACTTCTTTGTTTTATATGATGCAGTTTAATTTTACTAAATGGTGGCAACTGCACCAAGCTGAAGATAACTATGCACTAAACTGCCCATACAGACTAGGAAGTCATGATTTGTTACACTGTGTCCTCTGCCACCAAATCAGCAGTTCTAGATGATTTCATTCACTGTGTTTGATAGGTATGTAGGTAGATTTGGTCATGCCTATCTACCTTGGGTAAATATCATTTAACATTAGGTACTGTGCAGAATGGACACTCATACATAGATTCCATTTAAACTCTTACCTTGGAGCCAAGATTCCCATGTTCCACCTGAACTAAAACATGAATTCTTAAGAACAATGGGCAACCCTTTGTGCTTAGTGTTCATGTGCCTTTTCAAATTTCTTCCTCCCCCATTAAAACCACAGTTTACGTGCCCAGTGCACTTTCATACGTGATGGAAGTTTACCCATGCCTGGCAACTGACAATACAGGCAAAGGTTCAACGCAGAAGACCCGAGGCTATAAAGAGACAAGCGCAAATGCCCCAACCTAATCGAAAAGTGCGATAAATATTTGTTAAGCACCCAAAACTACGCGCAACCACCACGCACCCCTGGTACGCGGGCAGTGAACGTTTCCAACACAACAGATCGCAACGCCGAGGTTTTTAAGGTTTTTGGATTAGAGCCCTTTCGACCAGACATGATCATTTCAGGGCTATGGGATAAAGGAAAGTGGTTAACGATGGGACAGACGTGCATGCGCTTGGGGGGCCAACCGCCGAGCTTTAACCCGCGCATGCGCGGGTACCCGGTCGGGGTCCCCCTTCCCACGGGGCTCTCGGCCCACTCGTGGCTGACGCATGCAGCCTGCCCCGGACAAGCGGGGTGTCGCGAGGACGCAGGATGAAGCGAGATTCAGGATAAGAGGGACGGATGTACGCAACGCCGACCAAGCACCAACACGCGCCACATGTAGCGTCAGATATGTAACGCGCCGAATGGCGCTGAAAAAAAGGGCGGCTCAGGGAGACAGGCGGTAAAGGTTAAAATCGCCCGGAAACCTGCGCAAGACACACTGTTATAGAATTTAACCCTGTCTCGGTGGGTGACACCTTCTGGCCACTCGCGGCTGTCTCCTTACTGATAAGGAAACCAATACTAAATTCAACGTCGTCGTGTATGATGCCAATATTGCCGTCCATAATTCCACAGTAAAATTGTTTTATCGTTGAAAAATGGAAAACTGACGCAGCAAGAAAACATTTACAGTCTGTGCTGGTGGCTGCTGAGTGGTTTGATCCTCATATTTTCTGTCCCCCACCCTGGTAGTCAAGTGAGCAGGTTTTTTCTCTCCTGAAAGGGCGAGACAGCACATTGCTTGCGAGGATGCTTCAGTCTCCCTTGCGTCTCCCTGTCGGCGGGTTTGGCCAGTGGCGAGGCGCTGTGGCACGTGCCGGCCGACGCCGGACTGGAGGGGAGGGGGGGGGGGGACAGTGGCAGGGAGCGGCGCGTCTTCCTGTTGGCGGGTTTGACCAGTGGCGAGGCGCTGCGGCATGTGCCGGCCGACGCCGGACTGGAGGGGGGGGGGGGGGGGGACAGTGGCAGGGAGTGGTGTGTCTCGCGTCACGGTCTTCGTGGCTGGCTGGGGGTTTGGTTCCGGTAGCTCTGCCAAGGCCGGCGGTGGTATTGCGCTCTGCGTGAAATGGTGGAAGCCCGGGAATGACTGAGAGCAAATGATTATAGCACGCGGCGAATGAGGACGTTCTTAGCACTCTCCTTTGAGCAGTGGGTTTTATAAGATGTTGAAACGCTGCAGTTGCAGGACCAGGTCTCAGTTTACGCTGACTCTTGGAACACAAAACCGAAGCAGCTCATACCTTGCTTTTCCTTTCCTTTACCAGACGAAACCTGTGATGCGGTGCTCAGCGACGTCTTGCGTGTATTTGCCCTGGAATCACATCAGGCAGCTGCTCTGAGGGAGTCCCTGATGGCTAACGCCGGTTTGTCTCGAGCGAGCTGGAACACGACGCTGACCTACCCGCGTGTCAGCCGCCAGGCAGGTGGACCACGACGCTGACCTACCCGCGTGTCAGCCGCCAGGCAGCTGGACCACGACGCTGACCTACCCGCGTGTCAGCCGCCAGGCAGCTGGACCACGACGCTGACCTACCCGCGTGTCAGCCGCCAGGCAGCTGGACCACGACGCTGACCTACCCGCGTGTCAGCCGCCAGGCAGCTGGACCACGACGCTGACCTACCCGCGTGTCAGCCGCCAGGCAGCTGGACCACGACGCTGACCTACCCGCGTGTCAGCCGCCAGGCAGCTGGACCACGACGCTGACCTACCCGCGTGTCGGCCGTCAGGCAGCTGGATCACCAGCCGCAGCTGTCCGTCGCCTCCTGGCCGCAAGGCGAGTACCTGGAAGCGCTGCTCCGGAAGATCGACTTCGTGCCGAACGACGAGGCCCTGGACGACGAGGAGCTGCATGAGTGGGCGTCCCAGTTCTCCAAGCTGAACGTCTACTATCGCGACATCAGCAGTGCTGTCATCACCGAGAGTCCGACGTACACGGTACGTGCCAACGTGAGCCATTGCGCGACTGTAGGGGCGCTGCGCTGTGCGCATAGTCGCTGCATAGTCACTCATAGTCGCTGCATAGTCACTCATAGTCGCTGCACAGTCACTCATAGTCGCTGCATAGTCACTCATAGTCGCTCATAGTCGCTGCATAGTCCCTCATAGTCACTCATAGTCGCTGCATAGTCGCTGCATAGTGACTCATAGCCACTCATAGCCACTGTAGTGAGTGTCGCCCGTGAGATATGTGGCAGCCCGGTACACCATCAACACCTTCACGCAAAGTCGGTTCGCAATCTGCGCCTGTCACCTTGAGCGGCCACTGCGGAGATTAGTACCGCGCCAGGCAGACTCGATGGGTGAGTGCCATTGGCGGTCTAGGCAGGGACAGAACCCATGAGGTTGCAAGGGTTCAATTTGGTGACGCTTTCTGGAGGTGAACTCGAGGAGCTGGCAGCCCGTCGGCGAATGGAGCTCATCGGAGGGATGGGCGCATTGTTAAAACTGCGAACGGTATTTAAGTGTAGGCGTGGTCCTGCCACCGCCAACGAAGATACCTCATTTGAAAAAGGGTGTTGCCCTGCGAAACAAAGTCACGACTGAGCCAGTTCACCGTGAACGGTTTGATGTGAAGCCAGACTGACGTCACCTCCCGATTCTTAAATAAATTGAAGCCGTCTCGGTCCGCTAGGGCCACCCGCAGCCAGCTAACCGATCAAATATCTACACTCAGAGATATTTATTTCGTGTTTCCGTCGTGCGAAATGTTTCAAGCCTATTTACATGCATACTTGGCCGTTAGGTCAATACCCGGAATTCGCCGCCAAAATTTGAAATATAATTGCTCGCATCGATCTGGGCAAGGAAAGACACAGGTTTGATACCGCAGGGCTATCGCAATAGCTACGTTCGTCATTGTAAACCCGTGCTGGAGCCCTTGAGACGTGTTGAGCGCTGAAAAGTGATCAGAAAATTACCAAAGGCGAACAAACATCGAGTGAGATGCCTAATGCATAAACGTGGCCGGTGTTATTTTAATATGTCTTCGCCCGCTTTCCACCCATAACCAATTTGATGATAAATCGTCTCCATGCATTATCCCAGCACCATCTGAGCAGGCCACCCATGTACCAAAGCTGCTCAAGGTTTGTGAGCTTCCCATGCCACGTTTTCGTTGGCAGGGTCTTGTAGCCTGGCTTGCTTTTCAATGTATTAAGCCCGGACAAGCTCCTGAAAAGTTGGCCGAAAGATTACCATAACGTGACATTATTTTTTCAGTATACGACTTTGATCAGCAGCTTGGGTGGCGCCCTTTCTCTCTACCTGGGGATTGCGTTGATCCTGCTGGTTGAAATGATGGAATACGTTTTCTTCTTGGTGTTCAACACGTTCATGTTCCTCTGCGGACGCTACCAAGACAACGAACAAGAAAAGGCTCACGTTATATTGTCCGTGAACTCTGTAACTCCTGGTAAGTGGCAAGGCGGACAATGTGAACTGAATAAGTTCGTGTGTTCGAAGTTGGACGGAAACATTGGCGCTGCGTTCACTGTCAATGTTACCCAATATGAGCATCATTATCATTTGCGTGGCTCCTTATCCGCATCATATGGTAGAGAGCAGTGCTGTGAAGTCAGAGTCGGAGTTAAAGCCGCTCCGGAAGCAATGTTTACGGCGGAGTCGGAGGGAGTCGGTGTCGCTAGGCTTGACTGTCATGGCCCGCGAAGCTTGCCGTAGTCGGAGGGAGTCGGTGTCGCTAGGCTTGACTGTCATGGCCCGCGAAGCTTCCCGTGGTCGGAGCGGAGTCGGTGTCGCTAGGCTTGCTGTCATCGGCCCCGAAATTTTGCGGAGTCGGAGCGGTGTCGGTGTCGCTAGGCTTGACTGTCATGGCCCGCGAAACTTCCCGTAGTCGGAGAGAGTCAGTGTCGCTAGGCTTGACTGTCATGGCCCGCGAAACTTCCCGTAGTCCGAGGGAGTCAGTGTCGCTAGGCTTGACTGTCATGGCCCGCGAAACTTCCCGTAGTCGGAGGGAGTCAGTGTCGCTAGGCTTGACTGTCATGCCCGCGAAGCTTCCCGTAGTCGGAGGGAGTCAGTGTCGCTAGGCTTGACTGTCATGGCCCGCGAAGCTTCCGGTAGTCGGAGGGAGTCAGTGTCGCTAGGCTTGCTGCCTTCGGCCCCGAAATTTCCGTTGACAAGACAACATATACACACACCAAGCGCGGCGGTCTAACTGCTGCCCCGGGGGCAGGGAGGCGGCACACCATGCGTAACCGACGACCTTACGAAAGGAGGCGCTTGTGCAGGACAATCTGAGCATCCACATTGCCAAAAATCCTGTCACTTCGCAGGCTAGTTCACGTCAGTAACATTCGGTGACCTTTTTGAGGCTTGAAATCTAGGTAACGTGTTTGTCCTGCATCTGACTTAGATCTCGATTTTGCGCCAATCACAAGCTTAAAATTTTGAAAAGAGTGATTGTCGGCTCGAAAAAAACGGTTTTACATTCTCCTTATTACCCAAACTAGCTTGACTCCATGGTTGACCTGGTAGTCACTTAAAAAGATGCATCGTTATGGATGCGAAATGCGCAGAGAAACACTCTTGTGGTAGTTCCATAGCGCTGACATGCATAGTTTTGGCGCATTGGCGAGAAGGTTTTATATTTTGTATTGTGCCCGGTCTGAGATTATTCCCGTAACCTGTGAGGTGATGGACCGAACGTCAAATGTAGGAATACCGTTGTTGACCTCAAATAACCGGCAACAGGCCAGCCGACCTAAAGAAACGATGCTCCGGAGCGCGTAACTCAGAAATCTGTCAAATTTCCCTGATTTTCAGCAGCGTGGTTGGCCTTTATGCTGCCTGATATGGGGATGTCTGGGCACTGCACAGCCTGGGTGAAAGGTTAGGTCTTTCATGCCACATTAGAGGCAGCTGGGGTGGAGTCAGACTTGTTATCAGGGTCAAGGCAAACCAAAACCGTCTTCGTGTTCGTTTTCTACGGTAATGCGCTTGGCTTTAGGCTGCAATGATGACAGAACATCAGGTGTTGCTCGCCCTTCCTTAGGACATGGTTGAGGCGAGTGCTTGGCCGAATTATAACGCCGTCAATATAAAGCCGTGACGAAATAAAATGTTTCAAATAAGTCACCAGTGCAA